CACACCCTGGACAGGACAGCAGTCCATCACAGGACACACACACTCTCGCACACCCTGGACAGGACAGCAGTCCATCACAGGACACACTCTCACACACCCTGGACAGGATAGCAGTCCATCACAGGACACACAGACACAAGCATGTTCACACGGCAGGGCCAAGTTTCCCAGTAGTGTTTAAAATTAAAACATTGTAAGTTCTTACCACAAAGAGCGCTCCTCCTCCCCCAGAGCGCACAGCAGTCTTATGCAGGCTGCGAATCTGCCTGGTCTGCAAAAAAAAAAAGAGAGAAAAACATAGCAGTACAGCGATGGGCTCAAACTATTCCTTATTGTTCAACTATTCTTAGTGTCTGTTATTAGCAGATGAATATTCGCGTCAAGTTATAGCGCCTGAGAGATTCAAACGAAGTACAATGCAGATGATAATATACTTTATTCACATGAACGCAAGAAGCCTAAACTTAAAATTCGAGCAGCTCATATTGTGCACTTCACACCCTCAAAGACATGTACACTGAAAGAACGTGCACTGTAAAGCTGAAACTAAAATCTTCTATACACAGTAGAAGTCAGAATAAAATATTTTTCACATCTTATTCCGTGATCATTTTCCCTCCAACGACATTATGAAACCCAAAGGCATTTTGAGGCCCACAAAGTGCTGTATATCTAATTGGATAAAACCTACTTCTTTATACAGCTGATCGCCCTTTCCAGTTTCATCACCAGATACCAGTCCACTGCCTGTCACAACACTTCCAGTCCGCAGGGTAAGGCACGGGCAGAGCTACGTTTTTGTGGGTTCACTGCCCATTCAGTAAACATACACATTTAAACAAAATATAACACCTGGACGTATTAAAGTATTACCCATTGCACATGGAAATAAAAGCAATTTTATTCATTTGCCCTCATGTGAAGGTCACCGTAGCATATTTCCCTCTGTCCTTGATGTTAGACAATTAAGGGCCTACATCTTTACAAAAGCTTTCAAATACAGCCGTTTTAAAAATATGTCCATTATTTTCACCAGAAAGTGTCAGGAAAAAAAGGCACTGCGCTCACCGTAAACGAGACGGCATTTCGGATATTTGAGGATAAGAACATTTCTATAATATTTTTGTCCAACTCTCCTGCTCCGCCGGGTGTCCACACTGACAACAAGCCAGACTCGACGTGCTCCGGCAGCGACTGCGTTAGACTGACGCTAGGAAGAGAAAGAGCACAGAGCAATGGATCAAAATGCTACACAGTAGTCCCTGCTGAGAGTTCTACAGTATATTGTAGTATTAGCTCAGGACAGGCAGTAGTGTTACAGGCACTGGAAAAACTTGAGATCACAAGAGTGCCGGGAATTCATGTTAGAACCACTGCTCTATCTAATACATATCAATGATCTCCATTCTAGACTAGTAAACTAACCAGGCTTGCAGATGATGCCAAAAATCAAAAATGGAAAATTACGTGTATAAATTAAGTGAGGCTGCAAAGAATATTCAAAATAATTTATATAGAATTCAAATGCAGACAAGCACTTGGAAGGAGCTGTTTAATATGTCAAATGCAGAGTGTAATATACAGGTAGCAAAAATGTAAACCTAGAACCTAGAAGGACCAAGTAAAGGTTTATTCCATGCTGAACAGAGAAGAAAATAAACATAACATTTAAGCTGTGGAGGCTTCTTTAGGTGTGGAGAAAAAAATTAAGCCTGTCATAAGTAGGAGAAATGCTTATGTCTTTGTGTCTTTGTGACGTCATGTTCACCTTCTAGACTACTTGCAGGTACGATAAAAAGGGAAAACAAAGTGTTGGGTAATGTAGTTGAACAGGTAGAATTTAAATCAGAGAATATTAAGTTAAATTGTGCCCATTGCTTGCTAATACGGGCTCTGTCTCCCCCTCAACCCTGAATTGGAAGAGCAGCTAGAAAATGGACAGATAGAAAGATACTAAGTTAAAATGTGTCCAATGTACTACCAGGCCATGAGTGTGAAGAGTGTGTACAAATTTGGTCACAGCTGCAAAATGGATATTGCTGATCTCTTAATTAGCCAAGAACAGAGGAACCCGATCCACTCCTGTTCTTCAGGGAAAGTTCTGCTCTAACGGATACTGGAAGTTAAACAGAACCGGAAGAAAGAACAGAGTCTTTTCAGTCCCGAACACAGCAGACTATTAGAGCATCTGTTCCAAGTTTTAAAAATCCTCATGGCTCAGAAAAAGGGAACCCAGTGGACTTAGTCCAAACTCTAAACTATGAGGAAGCACATAGCAAACGTAGAACAGGAGGCACTTCTTTATACAATGTGATCTCTGCTTTCAGGAAACAGACGGATGAGTTCCTTGGGTCGACTGGCTACTGAAAAGCAAACACAGCTAGAGGGGTCAAATGGCTTCTCAAGTGTAAACATCCATGTGTTTCTTTGTCTTATTTACATCGGATTCATTCAATTCAATGTAAATGTTTCCCTTTTTAAGTGTAGAATGGCGTATGATTCATTTGAGCTTGAAGTTCTTACTGTGTATATCCATTTACGCTGAAGACCATTAACTTTTGTTTTTTAAAAATAAAATATATGCCTTATGAACAATAAATGGAAAATGTTTTCTTTAAGATGTCAGACATTTTTTTATTTTTTTTTTAATTTTCAGTGGGGTTTTTATTTGCTAATGTTGGAATCCCATAAACTATCAATCGTTTTCATTGGAGATTCTGACGCAATTCTATATTCTGACAAAAAGACTCACTCTTCATTCAATTTAATCTTAATTTTGTGGTCACTGATCTATTCCCTGGAGTTGTTAATTCTTAATTCATAAAGTGTCAAGTATTGTCTGTTCTTCCTGTCACAATTGTTACCAAGCAACAGAAAGTAGCAAATTACCAATACAGAAGCTTTCGATTTACCTCAAAGCCTAACTTTGTTATCAAAACTTTGGTAAGCTTCCATTATCTTTGACTCTTTCATTTAGCCATGAAGTTACAAAGCTAATTCATGAAAAGAGATGTTTTCTTGGTAGCACAAGAAAACCAGCAGTTATGAGAGAAACCTAGGCACATGAATCATGAATAGGTTGTAATGGCTCATGATTTTGCACCCTTTCTGTGTCAGGCAGTCAGTGTGCCTTTTACGTGTGTGCTCTTCTGCTATCAGATGTTATTACACATACACAGTAACTGTACATTGTACAATATTATTAACAGAACCATAGACCACTGAGCAAAGGTAGCCTTTTCCTGCTCATCTACTTTATTTCAGTTGCTAATTTTTCCAAGAATCTCATATAAAATATGAGATCACTTTATTGGCCATTTACAATTTCTTTTATTAGGAAAATGTCTTTTCACAGACCCCAGCTTGTTCTCCACAAGACACACAGACAGGGAGAGAAGCTTGGGGTCAGAGCGCAGGGTCAGCCATTGTACAGCACCCCTGGAGCAGTTGGGGTTAAGGGCCTTGCTCAGGGGCCCTACGGAGGAAGATTCCTCTGCCGGCTGAGGGATACAAACCGGCAAACTTCCAGCCACAGGCGCAGATCCTGAGCCACAGAGCCACCACTCTGCTCTCATCTAACTGATTCCTCAAGGTCAGGGTGTCCAGAATGTCCCATATTCCCACAATCCATTAATTTAAAAAGTGCCTCCTATTCTCAGTTTTAAGTGTACTGTACTTCCTCATAGTTTTGCAGTCTTAATAATAATTCCTTCCACTTATATAGCTCTTTTCTGGACACTCCACTCAAAGAGCTTTACAGGTAAGCCCACCAATATGGAGCCCCACCTGGATGACGTGACAGCAGCCAGAGTGTGCCAGTACACTCCCCACACACCAGCTCTCAGTGAGGAGGAGAGCCGTGTGACGTCTGAAGGACCTGTCTCTCTAATCTCGAGAACAGGTTTATTGGTGGGACTTAGGATATAATCTTTCTTCTGGACCATATACTGCACATATGGCATATCATAGTGAAGGTTCAGGAACAAGATAATATTCTAATTCCCACTAATCACCTGCTCACTAGATTAGAAATACAAATATTACAGTTTGTACGAGTTTATACATTATAGAGGGAATAAGGTTTTGCCCTAAATTTTTGCTTTCAGATGTCTTCACAGCCAACCTTTACGGAATACAGATGAATGCTGATAAAAAGAGGGCCTAATTTAACACTCAATGCTGTGTTTAAAAGGCCTGAAGAAGACATGAGGAAGGTATTGATCCTGTCATTGCTCACCTTCACTGATGCACATCTGGTGTAATTAATTCATCCAAATACCCATCATTCACTCTGATACTGCTTCTGAGTCTGCGGCCTGAAATGAATGGTTTTCTTGAAATCACTGAGGCTTGCCAAATGTATATGCTAAACAACAGTGGCAAACGTTCCAATGTTAAAGAACATTCAAATGCTCACCAAACAGTATGTGGTAACTTGTTTTTGTTAACCTTTTATCTTAAACTAACATGATCAAATGTATTTGCCTGATATATAATCCAGTGCCTTGGTGTTGTTTGGCAAGAATGCAAACATGTATTTTGATCTCTTTTGTTTCATGAAAGCTGTTTTTCAAGCTCGAAATTATTCACCTTTAAGCATCCAGTATGTTTTGAGAGAATGCAATCTGTTTCTATTTTTATGTGAGAAGCTACCATAATGCTCATATTTACTTTTTGTGTGATGTTTGTTTTGGCAGAGAATTTTTTTACAGTATGTTATTGAGCTCAGAGGATTGCATCTTTGCCTTTTGAGTCCCAAGAACACATGTTCAAGAAAGATGATGTGGAAATATACCCATAATCATGTTTATCACATCATCATAATAACAGCAATAAGAAACAACTACCCATTATACATCCGTCAATTTTATAACGACTTCATCCAGCTCCGGGCCACAGGGAAGCCAGAGTCTATTTCAGCAAGCACCAGGCACAAGACACCAGTCCATCACAGGGCACACACCCACAGCAGGGCCGTTTTCACTTGAAATCGCCATTAGGTAGTCCAAGATCAGCGCTAATAGAGGTCTGTGAAACTACTGCACACAGTATTGCTATAGTGTTTCCCTGGCTGATGGGCAAAAAGCAAAGAGTGTAAATTCCTTTAATTCTGTTAGTGAGGACAGTAGAATATCAAAAGGGAAGGTTAATAAATTGAAGAAGAACCTGGCCCCAAAGGGCCCGGTAACCCCAATCCCCAACAATAAAAAAACACTGCTGAATACAGGATCACGGTCTGCGGAGTTTTCAGAGAATTTAAAAACAAGTCAATTTTGTATTAGTTATTCTAAATAAAACCTAGCAGTCTAAGGGTAATGTTAATATGGCTATATTATTACACATTAATAATGCATTAATAACAATTGCAATATGTAGTTTTCCATATCAATTATTCTCATACGCATTAGTAATGTCAATGTTGGCACTTTAATTATTGGTTTCAACACTCTTTTGTTGCCTTTTCAGTACCTCGCGGTGCATTCTTTTGTTTCGGAGAGTGGATTTCTGGGCCGCAGGGAACTCCAGTGATCATAAAAAGGAGGCCTAAAATAGTCTGAGGGTCAGTTATTAGCTGTAACCTTCAAGTGAACAGTGAACACATGGTGCACAGGCAGCCTACACAAGATAACAGTTACAACATGATATGATATTAAGAGAAAGGTCTTCACAAAAGACCTGTGATTTCATGACCTAGTATGGCTGTGACCCACAACTCACGACAATGGAGTACTGTATATGCCTGTAACCTAGCCGAATTCTTAGGAGTTTCAGCAGAAATTCTGGACTCCATATTTAGCTCTTTCCCTGCTTGTATTTTTAACTTGCCTGAAGTCAAAACCAAGTTTCTAGATATAATAGACATACATCTCTAAGAGAACTGTCGCTGCCTCCTTGACATATAAGGTCTGTCGGCAGGCGGAGGAACACAGAGGAGTCCCCGTTATACCCTGCCAGACAAATCCGTTGCTGTTTTTCTAGTACTCCACAGTACACCGGACTCAAAAGAAGGCTTGTTGTTCTCGGTGAAAAAAAAACATACAGTTTCAGCTAAATCAAAAATGACAATAAGAGAATTTTGTCCTGATTAAAGTCAGGTATTTTTAACATTGGTGTTGCCATAGCTTACGAGCTGGGCTTGGTGTTCCCCTGCAGCCTGCTAGTGAGTCTCAGTGCACACGCATTCCTCCTCCCAGTGTCCTGACTATAATGTGATCAAATGACAAGAGCAGGACCGTCCAATGAAAAAGTAGGTGTGCCTTTGTGGACAATCTGATTGGACCCTCTGGCGCTAAGGAGACTTTGTGAAATTAACACAAAGGAAGGATTAGGTCGGCCACTGTACTGCAAAGTACACAATAAAGATAACTGAGTCTAAAGCCTTCGCACAACTTGTTGTTTCACTCTCCGTGTAGACAATCACTAGCATATTACTCTTCCAGAGACTACAGCATCTGTCAGCCATGGTGGTCCCTGGATCTCATCACACAGAGGAGCAGGTCTTCCCCCCGCCGCTGGAGCTGCAGAACGATGCCCACGTTCCTGATTTTCAGAGCTACCTGCAGCTGTACAAAAAGTCTGTTGATGAACCAGAAGGTATGTTGTCACAACAAAAAGGTTATGAACTGCTTTTTCTTGTGATTTTTACTAAATGCATGCATCCTAATGGCAGCACACTGTCACAAATGTAATACCCTGTCAGAGCATTACATCACACATTCAACAAGATATTTTTATTACACATAATAAATCTTCTTCATCTTGTTCTTCTTCTTCTTATTATTATTATTATTGGCATGGTAGTGCAGTGGTCAGCATTGCTGCCTCACCACCCAGGTGCTCTAGGTTCAATACCCAAGGTGCTGTCTGTGTGGAGTTTGTATGTTCTCCCCATGTTTGTGTGGGTTTCCTCCAGGAGCTCCAGTTTGGTCCCACAGTCTAAAGACATGCTGGCTTCTGGGAAAATAGCCTTTGTAGTGTGTGTGTGTGCTCTGTGATGGACTGATGTCCCTTCCATTGTGTACGCTGCCTCGCTTGGTGCTTGCTGAGATGGACTCCAGCTCTCCCACGACTGTGAACTGGATAAAGCAGTCAGGAAATAGATGGCAAAGGAACAAGTAAAAGGTTTATTCCTGAAGGGAATAACAAGTTTTAAACCCGAAGGTTTATTCGAGTGCGACACCCAAAGAAGGCTCCACAGCCGAAACGTTGTGTTTCCTTTCTCCTCTTTTCAGCTGGAAAAAACCTTCACTTGTTCCTTTGCAGCCTACGCATGCAGCTACCTACCTGAACAAGGAAAAAGATGGATGCATTTAACACATTGTTATATCTCAGCTACAGTATATGTGGATATTTTGTTTTTAACTTTTTCTGGACAAATATTGTATGGATATGGACCGAGTGCTGAGAGGAATATTCTTTCCTTCAGGTTTGTGCAGAATGCATTGCAGTACATCTTGAAAAAACTCTCCGGTTTCCCTCCGAGCTTTATTTCATCCACTGATGTACAGTGATCTCCAGCCGAGACCTTTTCAATCTTGGAGCAGACAACGGCAGCCTCGCGTACCAGCCGAGGAAAATTGCCAATACATTCGAGTAGAGATAAGGGTGACAATGTGTCATTTCTTTTAAAAACATCATGTTTGGACTCGTTGGTAAAAAAAACACATGGCATGCAATGAAACCTGTTTGTTGACCTGTAACTGAAACAGCAGCACTTCTCACTTGTCTTGCAGTGTTCTGGAAGGAAGTTGCCCAGGACTTCTTCTGGAAGAGCCCACCAAAGGGGCAGTTCCTTCAGTACAACTTTGATGTGACGAGAGGCAGCATTTACGTCAAGTTCATGGAAGGAGCAAAAACCAACATGTGTTACAACGTCCTTGACAGAAATGTCAAGGAGAAGAATCTTGGTGAAAAAGTGGCGTATTTCTGGTAACTCCACGATCCTTGTTTTTCATGCCAAGTCAAAATGTTTGCCCACTATTACGGTCCATCACTGCTAAGCTTCAAACTCACACTGTAGCTCCTGCTTCATTTGAGAAGTCTAAAAAGCAAGTGTTGTCAACAGCTGTAAATAAGGGTCCAAACATAGTGAGAGTTGGTTTTTAAGAAAAACTGAGGATGTGTTTCAAAATTCGAATCCTTGCTAGATTGTTCATGCTTGAGCAGAGTCAACAATTCAAATGGGACATGTTTGAGTGGCACCTGTGACACGTTTACTGCAGTTGGTGAAACCATGTTGAAGCTTGGATTTATTTCTGAAATGGGCTATGGTTTGTCTCCTGGGTTTTTAGAGCCAGTGTGGTATGTGCACACAACAGGTACGTACTGTATTAATTTGCGGATGGAAAGGGCAGTGTGGAGTAAACGTTAGGTCACATTCCCGAGTGCAAGGTTCTGAGTTTAAATCCTGTGCGAGGATGCTGTTAGTATAGTGAAGATGACAATAATAATATCCCTAAACTTATAAAGAGGTTTTCTGGACGTGCCAATCAGAGTGCTTTACAGACAATGGGGACTCCCCTCCACCACCACCTTGATGCGCCAGTATGCTCACTGCATATCAGTTATTAACTGGGAGGAGAACAGAGTGATGAACCCAGTTCATAAATGGGGCTTATAAGTAGTCCATGAGTGAGAAAGATCAGGAGGAACACTCCTACTCTTTTGGTGAAACTCCCTGGGATTCTTTAATGACCATGAAGAGTCAGGATTTTGGTTTTATGTCTCATCTGAAGGAAGGCACTGTTTTTTATGGAACAGTGTCCACACCACTATACTGGGACATTAGGATCCACACAAACTGCAGGGTGAGCGCCCCCTACTGGCTCCACTAACACCTCTTCCAGCAGCAGCCTTAGTTTTTCCC